CCATTGCTTGTACACTATACTAATTATACCATACTAATTGATTTGGTGCGAAAAGTGTCAAGTCAGCTGTTGCGTAGCAGGGCTTTGTTTCTGTGTTGGTAGGAAGAGACGAGTTCGTTACGTTTGTTGAGTGTAGATAGGTCGGGCCGGCAGATCATCAGGAATTTCTCTTTAAGGCATAGGTTACATCGTTTGTTTGAGCTGTTGTAGGGCAGGTGTGAAGATAGAATGCGCCAGGTCATGGAATAGCCGATGTTGTTGTCTTTAAGTGTCCAGATGTGTTTATTGAGTTCGGTAGAGTTGCGGTGCTTTGCATGTCGGAACGATAAGGTGTGGTTGTTGTAGGTGGTCTTGAAGTCTTCTGCAGTGAGTCCGATGTAGGAATCCGTCGAGTTGTGAGTTGTTGTCTTTACGTGTGACAGTAGCTTGGTAGATAACAGGTTGTTGTAGGCAGTTTCCGTCTAGCGGGCATGAATTTTTCTGTCGGCAGTTGCATTTCTTGTTATTGTTAGCGGTAGTGTCAGCGGTTGTGTCGGCAGCATTAGTCTTTACGTGGGAAGTCAGGATTCTTTTGTTGTGGTTGTCAATGATTTGTTTTGTATTGTTCATGCAGCTGTAACTGATCTTGATTGTGTTTCTGTTGAAGATTTTGCGAAGCTTATGGTCTTTAGGGAAGTGTTTGTCTATCAGCGCGANATTGACGGTTCTTGCACCTTTGCGTGTGCGTTGGTTCACAGTGAAGTGTGTAGCTGTATCCACTGTCGTCAAGTGTTTTCTGCTAGGCGGGAGCTGCTTGGTCGAAGGAGGCTTTGTCGGATGACAGAGATGATAAGCGTCTGTTGATACCGGCGGGGATGTTTGTGGTGATGGGTGGGTGGTGTTTGGCTTTGTGTATGGTCAGTAGGTGTTTTGGCTGAGGTTAAATGTGACGTCTAGGAAGTTGATTACCTGTTTGTTGGCTTCTATTGTGATGCAGAGTCCGTTGGCGTTAAAGACGCGGCACATCTCTTTCTTGATGTTTTCAGTATCCCGAGGTGTGGCGTCAGTGGTGGCAAGTCCGTCGTCTCGGTATAGTCCAACATTTATGTTAAGATTCTGTAGCTGGGAGAGGAGGAAGTTTCCGACAAGTTCACAAGTCTCAGTGCCGTCGTAGCTGGCCATAGTTACGTCAAATGTAGTGTCACCTTCTTTTTTGCCAGTGTTGATTTTTAAATCATAATATTTTGAATAAAAAAAAAAGTTATTTTAAAATATTTTCCTCCTATGAATAATTAGAGTGACTTCTTTTGACTTTTATTGTCAGAATCGCTATCAGGTTTTTTTTTTTAAAATTCAGATCCTGAACTTTTCTAGAGGTTTGAGAAAAAGTAGTCCTGATTTTCACAAAAATAGCTGAAACCATGAGAATTCTGATATCTGTTGCCATTTCACGTCGTTTTGCTGATTTCCTTTTAAAACTCTAGGATGCATGAATGAATGGAAATCTAGGATTTGAAATCGGTTTGTGTTTGAAAATTGGATTCCATGTTGTGTTGTGTCTGGTCAGCATTACATCACAAACGACGTCAAAATTTGGTAAGAACAGAAACGTGACATGTCAGTTACACCATTTGTTTTTATATCACTATAAAGCAAAATGCTGAGAATGATGACGTCATCTATGTATCTGTTCTCTAAAAAGACCAACAGTAAGAACCAATCCGAACTAGCGTATCATTTAGCATATCATATAATTTGGCTTTGTTTTTAACAAAAGTCTAAATCGGTACTATTCTAAATTCGTTTAGCTATATCTGAAATAGTAGAGTAACTTACTGATAATGTATATAGAAATTGATTACAAAACAAATTGGAGGGACGACTTGAGTACACATGTCAAAATAACAGAGATAAGAACGATTATTGAACATGTTCACGACGTAACAGGTATTGTGGTAACATGTCTACTGTCAGTAAACAACAATCTGTGGTAACATGTCTACATGTCAGTAGACAACAATCATTCACTTGACTCTGATGATGACTTCCGCACAGGTTGTCGAAACGTCAGTCACTACCACCGACAACAGTCCTTCTCAGGACTACAATCACCCGGACGATCAGACTAGACCTTCACGAGCTATAAATTGTCCAGAAATTCCTTTATACGCGTCTATATCTCTAGGAATCCTCTCTGAATAGAAAAACAATAGCATTTTGCTGCTGGTTCTTCCAGATAAACCAAATTCTCATTAACGAATTTCTATCGTTTTAATATTTAGAGAGGATTTTCTAGGCCCACAAAAGAGCTGTAGCTTTGACACTTTCACACAATACACAGCTAATCACGCTCTTTTCAACGAGCTCTAAATTGTTTAGGAATTCCTTCATACGCGTCTTTATCTCCACGAATTCTCTCTGAATAGCAAAACAATAGCATTTTACTGCTGGTTCATACTGATAAACCAAAAGCTCATAAACGAATTTCTAGTGTTTTAATATTTAGACAGGATTTTCTCGGCCCACAAAAGAGCTGTAGCTTTGACACTTGCACACAATACACAGCTAATCACGCTCTTTAACACTTGTACACAATACACAGATAATCACGCTCTTTAACACTTGTACACAAGACACAGCTAATCACGCTCATTAACACTTGTACACAATACACAGCTAATCACGCTCTTTAATACTTGTACACAATACCCAGCTAATCACGCTCTTTAACACTTGTACACAATACACAGCTAATCACGCTCTTTAACACTTGTACACAATACACAGCTAATCACGCTCTTTTTAACCACCAGTCCTCTATGAATAGCAAAACAATAGCATTTTGTTGCTGCTTCTTTCAGATAAACCAACAGCTCATAAACGAATTTCTATTGTTTAAATATTCAGACAGGATTTTCTCGGCCCGCAAAAGCGCTTTACCTTTGACACTCGCACACAATACACAGCTAATAACATTGTTTTCAACGAGCTAGAAACTGTCCAGGAACTCGTTTATTTGCGTCTATATCTCGAAGAATCTTCTATGAAGAGCAAAACAATAGCATTTTGCTGCTGGCTCTTCCAGATAAACCAAAAGCTCATTAACGAATTTCTATTGTTTTAATATTTAGACAGGATTTTCTCGGCCCACAAAAGAGCTGTAGCTTTGACACTTGCACACAAGACACAGCTAATCACGATCTTTTTAACGAGCCAGTAACTATCCAGGAATTTCTTTATATGCGTCTATATCTCTACGAATCCTCTATGAATAGGAAAACAATAGCATTTTGCTGTTGGCTCTTCCAGATAAACCAAAACCTTATTAACGAATTTCGATTGTTTTAATATTCAGAGAGGATTCTCGCGCCCCATAAGAGCTGTAGCCTTGACACTTGCACACAATGCACAGCTAGCTAGTCACGCTCTTTCTAAAGGGCTATAAATTGTCCAGGAATTCCTTTATATGTGTCCATTTCTCTGGGAATCCTCTCTGGGTAGAAAAACAATAGCAGTTTGTTGCTGGTTCTTCCAGATAAACCAAAAGTTCATTAACGAATTTCTATCCTTTTAATATTTAGAGAGAATTCTCTCGGCCCACAAAGGAGCTGTAGCTTTGTGACTCTCACACAATACACAGTTAATAATTACTGTCTTTTTAAAGGGTTATTAATTGTCCAGAACGTCTCCTTTTTTGCAGATATATAAAGACATGAACAAAATTCTCCTATTTTGATATTCAGAGAGGATTTTCTCGGCCCTCAAAAGAGCTGTAGCTTTGACACTTGCACACAAAGCACGGCTAATCACGCTCTTTCCAACAAGCTTTGTTTTGATATTCAGAGAGGATTTTTTCGGCCCACAAAAGAACTGTACCCTTGACACTTACACATAACACACTGCTAATCACGCCCTTTTAACAAGCTATAAATTTCCCAGGAATTCCTCTTTTTGGAGTTGAAAGGTCGTTTGAGTTAGTGGCTCTTCCAGATTGACCAAAAGGTCATTAGTGAATTTGTCGTTTCAGCATTAATGCGTTTATATCTCTGCGAAGAAAGGGAATTCGTGGACAATTTATAGCTCTTTAAAAAGAGTGTGATTAGCTGTGTATTGCGCACAGTTGTTAAAGCTACAGCTCGTTTGTGAGCCGAAAACAGCCCCTCTGAATATTCAAACAATAGCATTTGGTTAATGAGTTAGAAAACTCGTCTTAGCTAGTGGTTCCTCCACGTTACGAAAAGCTCATTAACGAATTACTATTATATCAATATTCATGCGAAAAAGAGGAGTTCTGGAATATTGATTAGCGCATAAAGCGTGTGATTAGCTGTGTTCTGGGTTCAAGTGTCAAAAATTCCCTCTGAATATTGAAACGATAGAATCTTGTCAATAAGTTGTAAGGGAAGGTTTTATCTCATGGTTCATTCAAGTCTCTAAAAGCTCATTAACGAATTTCTTTTGTTTTAATATTCATGCATTCATATCTCCAGAAAAAGAAGGAAAGCAGGCACAAAGTTGCAGGTCTTACCAGTTGCCAAAAGTTAGTTTACAAATTTGAATTGTTTCACTATTCAAGCGGTTATATCTGCATGCAAGGAAGGAATAGTATGATGAGGTCTGTCTTGTGTACAAGTGTCGAAGTTATGGCTCTTTTGTAGGCCGAGAAAATCTCCTCTGAATATTGAAACAATGGAACTCTGCTAATGAGGTAGGAAATGAAGAAGAGAAAGCGGACCCAGGAAGCTCATTTGCAAATTTCCGTTGATTCAATATCAATGCAGTTATATCTTTGCGAAAGAAAGATTTTAGAAACAAGTAATATCGAATTTAAAAGAGCGTGTTAGGCAGCTATTCGATGGGGGAGAAAATCTCCGAATACTGAAACGATATCTTGAAAACTAGGGTTAGCTCGTTCACTCGAAAAACAGTTTAATCAATTGCAATTAGTTGTAGCTCATGAGAAAAATTCACGTACTATTTTAATGTCGCGTTAGATGGAGCATGATGAGGTAACTGATGTGTTTAAGTTTCAAATATCGAGTTTATTACAAATAACAAAGCTTTACAAAAATAGAATTATCATCAATCATCAAAGCGCCTTAAATAAATAAATAAAACGTCTATAAAAAATCAAATCTATTTTGTAAACGAAAACAGAAGCCCTACATTGCAAGCTCTATTTGTTTCTTCATAAAATTCTATGGGAGCCTGTGGTCCTATACTTCACGAGACTTATTGATTATCACCTACAATGAAAATACCGCAGTAAACAGTTCTTTTGTCCTATAGTGAAGTGTTAAACTATAAATATAGAACACTGATATGTTTCATTGTAATAAATACATTGTTTGATGCGATCAAAATTTTCATCACGCTGAAGTAATTCTATTTTTGTACCAAGATTATGTACGGTTCGTTGGTCAATGGAAAGATTGCTAAAAAATCACTACATGTGCTGACTATTCAAAGCGTTAAGTTCCTTAGTTTTCCTCTTGATCTCGTCCTCCAGATAATCGACTTTCTTCAAGAGGTTGTTCTTATGTAGTTCAGCATTTGTCAGCTGCTGAGTGACGGCTGACAATCTCTCCTCAGGTACGTTGTTATCCTCCTCCATTTGATTGACAGCAGTGTTCAGTTCCGACTCCGTTTTCATGACTTGGGCCAGTTCAGTGTTTAGAGTGTCTACTTTTCCTTCCAGGTTGTTTATTTGCCGTTGAAGAAGTTCTTTTGGGGATTTTAATCCGGTTTTGACACCAAGAGGTCGGGACTTCGGTCTTAAGTTAAGTAAAGAAAAAGGGTTTTAACATAATGCCTTTAAATGTCACAACATGCGCTTTTGGTTTTCCTTTTTCACCAACTTGAAGTGCCATAGAGCACTTATTCATTTTGTTTTTGTGAACTCTTTAATAACCGATACTTGATAACGATTACCCACTTGTTTTCAATTCTCCTCACAGTACAAAAAAGCTTGAACAACTGTAACAACTCACCTTTGTTCGTCCTCGGTTTTCTCTCCTCTAAGTTCTTTCAGCCTCGTCATGGCGAATTCTTCTTTCCTTGACGATGGAGCATGCGCAGATGAGAGGTACTCCTTTAGTTTGGCTCGGGTCAGGAAAGCGTTCTTACGCGCCAGACGCTCTGTTATTCCCTGAGAGAAAATTTAAGGCAAGTCGTGATTGGCGAAATAAAAACATTCGTTGAAAGAATTATCAGACTAAGCTGGCAATACCCTCGCAATTGTCTTTTCGCTGCTTACCTGCACAGAGAAATCCGCATCGACTGGGCTCGACACTTTGATGTCCACCAGTTCTCCAACCACATTCACTCGCTCGGTCATGGATCTCGTAGGCTTGAATGCCGTCTCCAGGGGATTGGGGCTAGACCTAGTCCCCGCTAGGCCCTGGGCGGTCGGTGTATTGCGAGACCGTGCAAAGAACAGGTCTTGACAACAAAGACGGAAGGCCTGAGAATTTGAAAAAAAAAAACGATTAACAAACCCGACATAAAGAAGGGGTGCCCGGCACAACAATACTACCACTGAGAAAGGAGACAAAGGGACGATATGAACTGAAAAAAAAAATGTTCATTTGTGGAGGAAAATGAATGCCATGGTCCACACGGTTTATGAGTGAAGAAATTACAGCTCATATTAAGTGCTTAAAATTGACAAGTGGTTAACTTTGGTTCGTTAGTTAAGATCATCTCTCTTGTTGCTGCCACAAGAAACTTAGCACCTTACAGAATTCCTAGAGGAATTCATATACCACTTTTTACCGTCATCATAGTTATTGAAGGTAAAATGTACCATACATTTATCATAAATTTTTTACAGATTTCATACGATGTCTAATAGCTTTCTAATAATCTTAAACTCACTCATCAAAAGAAGTCTTCTAGTGCTATGTTTGGACTAATTGCATGAGCACAAAAAGAAATTGTGTATCTTTGATTTTTTTGGCTGGCTTGATAACTAGTTACTACTACAAATTTTACAATCATAAGAAGCCAAAAAAGTACCTTATAGAATTCCCTGAGAAAGAGTGGGTTCTGATCATCCACAAGATCTTCAATCTTGATGTGCGCCAGACAGTGCATGATCACAACCAGGAAATCTCCGACAGACTCCATCCGCTCCTGCCTCACTAACAACACCCGCCGCGCATGCTCATAGAAGAAGGAATTTCGGAAGGCATTCCTTTCGTAGTTATTTTGGGGCAAATTGGATGCGAGCAGTAAAGTAACTTCAGGTGCGTCCATTGCTTTGTGTAACATCTGTGTAATGAAGACTCCAAAGCGATACACCACAAAGTTAGCAGGACTGAGGTCATTAATATCCACTGGGACCAAATCACCTCGACACAACCATTGCGCGTCTTTGATGTCGATATACGGTCGTCCGCCTTTAGCCCCAGCTACTCCTCCCTCACCGATGTTATTTTTCAGCATATTTTCAATTTCATCGACGCTGTCGAATATTGGTGAACCAATCAGCATCGAAACCCAGTCTTGCTCTGAAACGCCCGCAGGCAGTCCAGCGGTTATAACAGGCTGACCATCTGCTGATGACATAAGCAGACTTTCAGTGGTGGTTAGGTCTTCTGTAAATAAGAGAGAAGGAAAAAAAGAGACAATTAATTGGAATTCGAAAAATAAAGACATTCACCCTGTTAGAGTTTCGCACCGCCAAAACGCTTGTAATAAAGATGTATGTAATCAGCGATAACTAAAGTTTCCATTAAGTCGAAGTGAAACTCGACCTCGTCTTGATGATGAGTCTTACATCTCGACCTCGTTTTGATGATGAGTCTTACATCCGGACAACAATCAAAGCTGCGGTACACTACCAGAAATGTAGGTTACCTGTATCTCGCCGATTGACACCGGATTCATAATGACAACTAAAGACACTACCACATTACTAAATGTTACCTGTGCTTCCCTCTCGTGTCTCTGATGGAGCCAAGGGTGTAGTTGGGGTGCTTGCCTTCAGCCGCTCCGCCTCTTGTTTCTGTAGCTCGGTCATTTCTTGTCTCTCTTTCTTTTCAGCAGCCTCTGTCTCAATCTTTGCAGCCGCTTTAATTTTCTGCATCTCTGCATCTTTTTTCTTCTTTCGCCTGGCTTCAAGTTTCTCGCGAAGCGAAGCTTTCGTTCTCTCTTGTTCTTTTTTAAGGTTTTCTTCAAATTTAGCCATGTTGGCCGCGTGTTCTTTCATTAGTTTCTGAATAACAAATTGCGCTAAAATCAATCGCCATCAAAATGAATAAATAAGCAGAAAAGCTTGTCACGTAAGGAAGGGCGGGCGGGCAGGTAGACAGATAGTTAAAGAGGGTCTCTTCCCGCTTACCTCTTTTTGTTCCTCGGTCATTCCTCGTTGAGCCATGGCCAGTTCTTTAGCAGCTTCACTCTCCTGTGCTGCTTTCGCTCTCTTTGCAGCACGCTCGGCCTCCCGCTCTGCTAGCCTCAGTTCCTCTCGTTCTCGCTCTTTCTCTAGCTCAGCTTCAAGACGCCTGGAGGATAATTACAAAGACGAAATTACTTTCAAAGTAATGAGTTTTTATGGTTGGAATTATCCTTGCACGATGAAACAACAAAAAAAATTACAAGTTATTTTACAGAAGCGCTTCTCCTTACTTTATTTCGTCATCCATCTTTCTTTTCTGTTCATCACTCTGCTGTTGTCTTTCCGCCTTTATCTTGTCGATTTTCTCGGCCATTTCAAACATAGTTTGTTCTCGGTATTCTTTGGCTGCCTGTGAAGCGCGTTCGGCTTCTTCGTTGTAGTTGTTGATGAGTTCCTTAAAGACACAAAATAGTCACCGTTCAGTTCACTTATTACAAAGCACTTCAGCTTATTCAAATTCTCACGGGGAAAGTGGTTTAACATGACGTCTGGATTTCTGGACGATATTGTAGTGCATGATGAGCATTAATTAAGCCTACTTGTGCTTCAAGATAAAACGCCTGTGTAAAACAAGTAACAGAACAGCTAGTTTGACATGTTCTTATTAGTTTAACAAGTTGCAAGAACGATGGCGCACCTCTTCTGAAGATAGCTCACTCATTGTGCCCGCGAGCTCTAGCAGTTGTCTTTCTCTAAGTTCCAACCTGGCATGAGCATGTTTCACGTCAAGAGAGGGCAGGGTATCTAGTTCGGCCTGTGCGACTTTCTCTTGTGTCTCTGCGTCGAACTGTGCCAGTTGTTTCTGCAGGAAGAGCAGACATTAGTGGATAAAATACACAAAAATAACACCTGATTATCAAATCGATGATGAAATTTCGCCTGATGTGCAAAACTCGAGGAGTTGGGAAATTTGATAATTGGAGGTCCATTCCACTAAATACATGAAATAAATTTACTTTTATTCCTGTAATTCTTTCAGCGAATTTATCGTACTATAAAACAACTCATGGACGAAACGTTTTGCAATTAACATAAGTAGCTAATACAGTATAATGCGGACCTTCTGGATAACACTGCATAGTGTGACTACTAAGAAAGAAACATCTTAAATACAATGGGAGAGGATTTATAAAGCCGATTAAAAGAAGATAAATGTCAAATTATCAGCAAAATCAAACTGCGCTTTACCTTCTGTTTTAATTTCAACTCCGCTTTCAACTGAGAAAGTTCAGCTGTGCTCATCGAGTTTGACTTGGAAATCAACTCCATTAATTCCTGAAGGTGAAACCATGTAATAAAGTATTAAAAGAAAATATTATACGACAGTACAAAGAACATTAACTCAAATTAAACAGGATGTTTTTGAAGTTACCAAGCCTTTAGAGGATTTTAAACGTGGAAGGCTTTTCGGTGCCAAAGACTTGAAATATCAGCCGGTAAAATGTCCAGCCATTATTTTGAACCATGTTTTACCTTCTCTTGGTCTGCTATTAGTTCTTCTCTCTCTGTTTGGCGTGTTTCAGCCATGCGAGCCCGCGCTTCTGCCTTGGCAGCGTCGATCTCTCTATTAAACTGTTCTTCAAGTTGTACTCTTTCTTGTATGTGTCTTTGTTGCAACACTTGGTATATTGTGTTTCCAGCCCGTTCACTGTCCAGATTTTGTACCGTATCTGCCAATGCTGTCTTCTGGGCGTCACGAATCTAAAGAAAGTAAATAACTATTTTAAAAAACTGTTCTACCGTTCTTTAAAAATGCAGAACTTGCATGCGTAGGAGGAATACGTGCAACTCGTTCTGTTTCGTACAGCCGGACGCTTGTAATTGCTTATCATCTCAGCAAAACGTTTCTCCAGTAATACATTTGCTTAGTTTCGCCTTATGTTTTGAATGAAAAGTCTGATTCCTGTAACTGCTTTTAAATTTTACGCTACCTTGCAACATGTTCCTTACTGCTATGTAGCGCGGCAGGGCTCTGTTTAAGTCATGAACAGAACAAGAAAATATTCACACACCTTATCCTCTTGAACTCGTTGCCTTTCACTTTGCTGGTTTATCAGTGTCTTTGCCATTTCAGCCTGGTGTTTTTGTTCCAAGGCAGCAGCTTTGCGTCTCTTTCGCTCAGCAATCTTGTCACTGAGCGAGTTCATCTGCCGCTGTTTCTCCACATCCATGCTGCGTGACAACATCTCCAGCTCTTGCTTGTGTTGCTCCAGTAACATATCAGCCTGGTCCTTTGATAGTTCGTTACGCTTGCGTGACATCTCTTTCGCGAAAGTCTCCTTTTTGGCTTCAAGTAGCTGTAAATATACAGATTGGCATGGCATGTATTAAAACAAGTTTAACTAATATTTCCACCCTGCTAAAGGTAAATACGAAGAATGATGTTCAATTGAAATTACAAGAATATCGTCAAATGATCTCCTGTCACCCTTAGACTTCAAGAAACAGTAGTACATAACCTTGATGTGGTGGACTAGCAGACTTTAAGATCTGTCAGCGGTTTGCAGGAGGGGGGAAAGGGGGTTCAGCGAGTCTTGCCCTGCTAGATGGGGTGCTATAGTATCACAGCCTCCCTACCCCACCCCCTCTTGTTCTTGGCCAGGTTTCCCTGACGGTTCACTGGTACCAAATTATACTGCTGGACGGAGAGAGGTAACGTGCGAGATAAGCGTCTCGCCCAAGAACACAACACAGTAACTCGGTCAGGACTTGTCCACGGAGCTCTAGATGCAGAGTCCTGGGCGCTAACACTAACGCTGGCGTTTGAAAGACAACACTGCGAATGAAGGGTTTAAAGAATAAGGGGTGGATCGATTGATCGAGGAATTGTATACCTTCTGTTTCTGTTCTTCTATCTGATCTGCGACTTGATTCCCTGCATCCTGTTGTGCAGCTTGCAGTTCTTTCTCCATGTTGATCAACTCTTCAGCCTGCTTTACTTCCAGAGCAGTTTGTTCTTCGATTTGTTTATCAGCAAGTTTCTCCAGCTCTTGACTAAGGTCACCAGCTAGCTGAGCCTCCGCTGCCTCCAGCACTTGCACAGCGGCATCGTCCCCGGATAATTTAGCCTATAGGGAAAGAGGTTCCAATGAATAGAATTTTCCCTTGTTCTTCTTACGATAACAAATCAGAGAAAGGGATAAAGGCGCCAGTTTTCATAAAAGCGTTCTTTTCATCTTCGAGTTTTCCGAGTTAGGTATTTCATTTGATATTACTTCTTCAATTCTTGAACTTCCCAATACAACATTTTTGTATCATTTCATATCAAAATAAACAAAAACACTTCTCACAAGTCCTTCCAGTTCACGCTCGCTGTTTCATTGTTATAGCAGGGAAGATACTGTTTCTTACACTTAATAAAACTCTGGAACACGGGGTTCACAAATATAAATGTCAGATTTTTCATTCTGATTACCTGTTTCTTGCTCATTTCTTTCAGTTCTTTCTTCATAGCAGTTTCCTTGTTCATTTGTTCCTTCTGACGTCTTCGTGCAGCCAGTTTAGCGGCCAGAACAGCCCGGCTATGTCTCTGTAGATCGTTGTATCGCTCTCTCATCTCTTCAGCTTCCACCATGTACCTCTCCACTATTTGTTGCTGTTCTTCTTCAGACATTTTAGTTCCCTTCAATAGGTCTTGCACAACCTTATGATTAAGATGACAGACCAACAAATCAGATAAGCATGTAACATATTCAACGTGACATTTAAAAGCGAAGTGAGCGAGTTCACGAATAATGGGCGACAGCTGGGAGAAATCATTGGAAAGAAGAAAGAGAACAGACACCAATGACGCGCAAATCGGTTGGCAAGTGAGGCATTCAACAAGTTCAAACCTGTTTTCGTTTCTTGTCTTCTTGTTCAGCCTCCACCTCGGCCAAAACTGCTATCAGAGCGCCTTGTTCTCTCAATACGTCTGCATTCTCTCGTTTCCGCAGGGCTTCCAGGATCTCTGCTTCCTCAGGGGACCCAGGTGCCACATGTTTGAGCTCTTCTTTAAGTTCCTCCTCAGTCCTCTTGGAACGTTTACGATCTTTTCGTTCTTTCATCTTTTCTTTCATGTTGACTCTCCTAGAAGCAGCTCGCGAGTGAAGCTAGTGCGTAATAACATTCAAATATGTTAGTTTTCTTCTCAGTTGTAATCTAAGTAGAGGCGTAACTTACAAACAGCACTCCGAAGTCTTATGACATTTGATACATTTCTGTAACTAAAAATCTATTTTTCCATATTCAAGTCTCCTGCGCCAGTGATGGTGCTTGCAAAATCGCTGACCTTAGCAGTAGCTACAATGCCCGTTATGTGCGGTTACCTAGTCAGTGGCACAGTTCTTTGCGAGTCTAAATTGTGAAGCTTCCGTCAGGTATATGGAGGGGAGGAGAATGTCAATTCGGATGGGGATTCAACTTCCCTTACTTTATATGTGCACGATCCTGCGCAGTAGAGCACTATTTAAGCAATAGTGAAAATCAGACCTGAAAAAAATTCAGGCCTGTACGGGATTCGAACCACTGACCTCTGCGATACTAGTGCAGCGCTCTACCAATTGAGCTAACAAGCCAACTGGGAGCAGGTCATCAAATTAATTGCCTGCTCCCAGTTGGCTTGTTAGCTCAATTGGTAGAGCGCTACACTAGTATCGCAGAGGTCAGTGGTTCGAATCCCGTACAGGCCTGAATTTTTTTTCAGGTCTGATTTTCACTATTGCTTAAATAGTGCTTTACTGCGAAGGATCGTGCACATATACGTTTCATAACCGCAGTTCATATATATGTATTTCATATGTTTGTTGTTCCCTTACTTTGTCAAATCAATCTAGTGATAAACGATTAATAATCTGTTCATTTACTTAGCAAATGGACAGTGGTTCAGCTTTGTTTATATTCTTATCGACAACAATTTTTGACCACTGTGATGACGAATATCGTTGTCGATAAGAATACAGACCACGCTAAAACCACAGTCGATTTTTATTTTATCACAATATCAACGTCAAATAAAACGGTTCTTTTAGTGCGTGACACAGAGTGACACGCTGACGCGAGCAGCGTTGTCTGCACTCTTATCGACAACAGCAAATTGACCAATCAGATCGCGACATTACTGGCAATTATGGTAAAAGGATTAATCTAAATACACTCTATATCGTGTGTTACACATGAAACTCAAATTTCTTACCTCTCGCACTTCTTCAAAAGCTTCCTCGATCTCTTCTGGAGCAAGTGATAAATTCATGGATTTCACTCGTGCTTCCATCTCCTTATCAAATTCCGCTCGTCTGCCGGACTCCATCTCCTCTCGTTCACGTTCACTTTCTTGTTCGTAGGCAAGTGCCAGTTCAGCCAATAGCTTCTCTTGCTGCTGAGCCAATAAGATCAGACCTCTCTCCAGCTCATCCTCATCCGGGAGATCAAGATCGATGACGTCAATAACCCCAGCAATGCGAGCTTCTTCCTTATGACGACTACGAACAAAAACGAAGATTTAATCTTCTATGAGAAGAGAACATGACACTTGACATATTGAATGAAATGTTGTAGGTGGCTGCTCTGAAAACCGCTGAGGACTAGGTATGTATGGTATTGAAATTTATGTGTACATCAGACGGTTTGTGCCCCCACTACAGAAATGGGCAAACAGTAAAGGAAAAAATGAACCATAGTCACGATAAAATAGTTTATTAACAACAGACTCACATGGCACTGAACGACCTCCTGCACTGCTTGATAATCAAGAGAAAATATTGGTCTCCTAACTTTCTCTTGCTAAAGCTATGACTAAGTTGTTACTTGACGGAAAACCAAGAGAGAAAATACAAACAAATGATTGTAGTACATACTTGTAAAGCTCTTTCTTGCGTCGTACTCGCTCTTCTTTCAAAAGTTTTCTAACGTCCCTCAGTTTCCTCTGTTTCTGTTGTTCAATATCTTCCTGTACCTTACTCATTTTTTCTGAGTATTCCCGTACGAGAGCTTCTTTCTCTTCTTCGCTTTGTGCCCGTCGTAGTTTTTCCCTAAGTTCTCCCTGAAATTGGTCAAAAGCAAACACGTTCAAGTCTTGTACTGGCCAAGTGATAAAATACCAGCCTGCAGTTTTGGCCTTTTTATGCGTATTCAGCCAATGCGAGGCGGGGCACGCAGTGTTCCGCGTCCTCCTCTCGCCTGTGACTCGCTCTTCGTGTCCTACGCACACTCGACTGACTCGCCTATTTTGCAGGGTACGAAAGATCCTGGTATAAACCAACCGCTCTCTGTTATTTTCTATTTTCTAACCGATACTAAAAAATCTATTCAGCGATATAATTCTACAACGACCTTTTACCTGTAACTCAGTCACGGCCTTGCCTTTCTTCTCTTCATACGAAGTTATAACCTCAGAGATGATTTTGATTTCGTTTGAGCGAAGTTCATTCTCTAACTGAGCACATTCCAGAGTGTGTTTTTCCATCAGGTTCTTGCTGATTTCCTTTCTCTTTGCCTCTGTCAAGCCACCTGATGCGGCGATCTCCGCAATATTCATTGCTTCGCTGCTGTATTTTTGCCCCATTTGATCAACTTCTACTGTTGAGAGAATTTCCCCTGTCGAGAAGACAGCGCTTGACTGACGCTGGAGGCCTGGGGCTAGAGTAATACCAGCAGCTTTTTGAGTTTGTTCAGAAGCGACAACAGGCTGGCTTATCACCACAGTTGGAGCTGAGGAAAATAGAGAATTATTCATCAAAAATTAAGAAATCTTCGATAAGGTGCCTAAATATCATAACAAAACAAAATTTTGCTCGAAGTACATAAGTACAGATCCCAGAAATTAGACCATGAAGACAAACACAGACAAGACTGAGGAAATACCACATGGATAACAAACATGGATTGTAAATTGCTTTTGTTTGGCAACTGGTAAGAATTGTGATTTGTTCACATACCAACACTAGTGCCTCGTTCCAACACAGTACTTGAGTTGATGACGTCAAATTTAGCGCCGCCACCGAGTACAGAATATCCGCCTCCAACAACTTGACCAGCGGAGTTCATCAACACTGGCATGCCCTCCTGTAAAAGGCGGATGAGGCGCTGAAGAAGAGGCAAAAGCTCCCGATTGGCTTCGGGTAGCGGAAGATCATCTCCGTATATTCCCTGCAGTGTGACTTCGTATTCGCCCGCGATGATTGCACCTCCCGTCAAGACAAGCTAGAATATGAAATAAGTACAAGTTGAAAATTACCGAGTTAAAACGACACAACTGGCAATTGAATTAGTTTTAGTAAACAGCGTGAGTAACCTTGGCTTCCAATGCAGAAATCTCGGCTTTATTCCTGACGTATTCTAGTCCCGAGTGCTCCTCGTCCAGCTGTTCCGTGCGGCTCTGGAGCTGATCTTTTAGTTCGCCACGTAACCTGGCCTTTGCTTGCTGGAAGCGATCAGTCACGGCAGCTTCTGCTTCGGGATTTAATGCACCCTGGTAAAAATGAAAAGAAAAGAAATTAAATAAGATAAAAAGAGATGAGAGGAAAAATTACAGATGTGGAAAGATGACAAGAGATGAGATGAACCAGAGAGAAATAAAAGGAATCATTAATCTGAGGTGAGATGTCAGTTATGGATTCACTTTAAGCATTTCTGATTTCCTTTAGAATATTTGTGATTTTCCGTACCTGAAGTTCTTCCATTCTGTTGTTATACTTCGTCTCTTCGGTTCGCAATTTATCAAAGAAGCGGTTGATTGCGTCAGCAAAGCGTTTGTGAGCATTGTTGTGTCCGTCTTCCTTTTGTCTTTCCAAAGCGTCAAACATTGTCAGCACAGCCACAACATCTGGCGGCAAACCAGCAGCGTGGTCGACTGAAGCTTCGCTACGTCGCTGCACTTCACGGCGTGCCGCATCAGCCAAGGTCACGGTTTCTACGGAAACAAAGTAAATAATCGTAAGCGATGACACCTGATTCCGAACAGTTATCTCACCACGATAATCATTAAAAACAGTTCCACGATATAGATTATCTAAGTATTGATAATTGTCACCTCCGAAACAAGGAGGTTTGTGCTTTCAGTGAATCAACTTTTTTACTTACCTTCCTGAATGTTTTCCAGTTGTTCCTGCACACGATGAGCTGTCACGTGTTCATCTTCCAGCAGCTGGCGGCAAAGATTGGACTCCACTTCCGTGAGCTCAGCTTCACGGTGTCGCTGACGACGCCAAAAACTGCGCCGACCAGCGAGCTCCTCCTCAAGAAGGGCCACCTACAAAAAGGTATCAAAGGTTAGATGTGCTCATTTAAAACACTATCCACAGACAATGAAGACTTACCGAACCAGGGGGCGGGCGCCGCTTTCTGTGTGTACTAGAGGAAAGCGTGACAGGTTCTGTCACGCCAAACTCTTGGTTCATCTTCACGCCACATATGGTGGACAGTGAACCAGTCACTGGATCCACAGCCTTCTCTCCTATCATGATAGCAACCAACCCCTCCCCACCAGGGTCCTCCAGGGAGCCTCCTAGGGGAATAATGGTGTCCGTCTCGTGGTTTTTGTCGATGCCAAGGATTGGGACCTCGAGGTCCATTCCTGATGGGTCCCTCATAGTTGTACCTATGAGTATAGGAAGCAGCTGACCAGTGGCTGAGAATTCGTACATTCCTGGGCTGCCACCACTCTCTGCCAAAAGAGAGCAGCGCTCCTCGCGGCGCATAATGTCATGAACACTTCTCAAAAGATACGTCATGACCTTGGAGCGTCCCCGCTGAAGATCCTTCTGAGCAGTCTCCAGCATGCTTAGCTCATGACGGCCATCCGATTCATCTGGACCAGTCACAGCATCTTTCAGATCCTGCAGAGCCTCTAGAACGCGGAATTCATAATAGAGTTCACCAACGTCTAACACATACTGATAGCCTCCACCCATTGGTTCCAGTTCCCTCTCCTCTCCATCATCCACAAGCCTGGCACCAGTTACTTTCAGTGGCCTTCCTGCCAGAGGCTCTGTGAACGAGTCACTGAGCAGCAGTGGGATCTCATCGCCTCTGTCCAAATCCCCTGGGGTACCACCCAGGGGAATGACACTGCCTGTCCTTGGGTCAATGGTCACCGCTACAATGGGGGCTGGGCGACCTGAGTTGGGATCCAGCATCATCGAACCAATCTCTATGGCAACTGGGAGACCTGTTACTGGGTCGTCATGACAGCCACCGACTGGATAAGCATTACCTAAAAGTTTATCATATTAAAGGTTAATTAACTTCGTTGTAAATAATGGTAGAAACATTTATTAATTCCAATAGCTTCCTTCAAGCGATTTAATTTAAAAGTTTCACTTATTCAACCTCAAATTTTTCTCATATCGGCTTTAACTTCACAGCGGCTTTAAAACACTAAGAACTTAGCTGACACTTTTTAGTATGTATGACCACTCCGCAGAGTCAGGTTCAAGAAAACCGGAGGACGAAGTCACAGCCCATTACACAGTGCATAATCGAGTCCAACATTTCATGTCACCGTAAAAGTATTCTAGTTTTGTAACTTACCTGTCTCTGGATGAATAGTCATTCCTAAAATCGGAACAGGAAGACCAGTCCTTCCACAAATCATTCTCCCATTCAGCCGCATGTCTCCTTTCTTCTCTACTGGTATAAGAGTCAACTTCACTGGGACCCCTGTCTGGGGATTGTTTGGGTATGGTACAAACGGAATAAGAGCTTCTGCTGATGTGGCTGCGTCTGCATTATTGCTATCAGCGGTGAATGAGAGGCGAGATGCAAGCGGGTCATAGGCGACATTTCCCTCGATGGGCATGACACGCCCGCTCTTTGGATGAACGAAAAAGTACTGCGGGACGGGAATATTTGTTAAGTTGTCAGCCAATAACATATTAGCTGTCGTAGGGTTGGGAATCATCAGTCCCGTATGTGGGTCATGTGATATCATATCAGTGGCTTGAATGCCTCCATCGGCGTTAAACAAGTAACTCATGCTCAGGATCTCTCCTTCAATGGTACACAGCCTCGCTCCAGTGTCTTGTCCGAGTAACGCCCAGGTTCCTCGTCGCTGGCATTCGCTGGTTATTTCTACGTTCAACCGCTGAATGATTGCATCAACACGACTTCCAATCCTTCGGGAAAAACAGTCACACACAGCATGAGGACGAGGTTACAGAAACTCCTGCAGAATAACGACTCGACTGTTTTCTCACGAATAAAATTACCACACAAGTGGCAAGTTCCAAGCATTGTTTACAATTACCTGTGTTCTAACTGGTCGTTGAAGTCTCCTGCCATATCACCCTTGCCTTGCTTTTCACTGTAACCCTTCAGGATACGAATCGCTTCACGCAAAGATGAATCAAACGCTATTAAGTGTGCCTCTCTTGCTTCCTCGTCTTCTTCCAGAATTGTTTTCTGCCGCTGTAAGATCTGCTGAAAATTGAAACCAAGCTCCTTCCTTCTCTCAAGTTCAGCTTCAAGCTAGAAAAAAAAAAAAACAACAAAAACAGAGCTCGTGTTATTGTGGTATTTAAATTTTTAGACGAACCTAGTCGTAAGTATGACAAAATACTCCTACAGCCGCTTTCGTGGCGAAATGTCTATTTGCGACTGGAATTGAAAGAAAATTCACTTAAACAAACTTTTTTTATAACACCACTTAACTTCCGGAAACCATCGCAATGACTAGTAACTGAACATTAACCATGAAGGGTCCCATACGGGTCAATCTTTACCTCTCCTTTCTTGGCCTCAAACATTCTCAAGTCTTCCGGTGTTGCCATGGCAGCACGACCTTTAAGATTGAGTTTGGCGATCCATAATCCCTTAAGAGACTCTGTCTGTTGGTTGATCTTCTGGTAAAGTTGTTTTGCCTAAAATATTAAAATGATTAATAAGAGACTAGTCATAAAATCAGAGAAATTTTCAACCTGTTATTGTGTTATCTCAGTGACATCAAATGATAAATCAGCTGTATGATTTAGCTCGCTCGTTATCAAACGTAAAACGTTTTGCGCTAAGATATACTAGCTCGATGCTTCCATCATTTTTTAATTGAAACTAAGTTTAACTGTATGAAAATAGTTTCGTTACTGTGAAACTCAGACCATCGTGAACATCAAGTATTCATTAAACGTTGCTGTGTTACGAGGATCAAGTCATTCAGCCGCCAGAAAGATGAACTACAAACAGCAAGCCAGTGGTAATTGTTTGCAGTTTTGATATTTTCTAACAGTGACGCAACCAGTCTTTAAACTAATCCATTACGTTCCTTACACCAGTTGCTGTAAATCTGTCGAGCAAGTGAACACTATTTAGACCTCTCTTAATTTTGGAAAAAATGAGAACACTTGTTACCTGATCCTTTTGTCTGGCTATGGCTGCTGTTACTTCCCTGGACTGTTTAGCTAAAATGCCATACAATCTCCCGGATGTAAAACCTTCTAAATCCACTTGTTGGTCGTAATCCCAGAATTCATCGCCCTTCACTTCTTCATCAACTGGAGAAACACACAAATCAGAGTCACCAATTATTCCATATAAAATTCACGTATACTTCAAGCACTTCGCTTCCATCGTCTCCCACAGCAACCCCAGTGCTTTCTTCCTTTGCGCACCACAAATTGAAATCTATGACTGTATATTGGCCCAAGGTACCATTTTCGAATGGTTCTGTTGCACGCCCTGAAGAATCGACCCAGCATTAAACCTACCTGCAGGGCCCTTCTCCTGCGAGGGTCCTTCATTCGCATACTGATTGAGCGCCTCAAGATTCCTGTGGTACTTCTTAACAGGATGAACCGTGGATCCTTTAGAGGAATAGTCATCAAAGCTGTAATTCTGCGCCAGCTTACGATAGCGGGGGAACTTGAAGGTAACTTTCTTCCAACCATGTTTACGGAAGATTAACTAAATGGGAAAGAAAAAAAAAACTGAGGAATGGCCATAGGACATTGCACCTTAAAAACCTTTTCTACGGCACAATGAACAAAGGGGTGTCAGTTGAATGCAGATATTAAATCAAAAAAGGATTGGACGATCAAAGTGAACTTTAGGACTATTTTCCATAACAACTCGAGGCAGCTTCAATTTTCTTTTCAAGAGATGAGTAAAGCTCACTTCCAACATATTCATTCAAATCTGCATGAAATCTGCATCAAAAAAGACATAATATGCCAAGTAAGACCATGAAATTCCTGGATATAACGACAGATGTCTGGACACGAGAGACATTCTTTGTGACCGGAAAAAAGACCTAACTTACCAAACCAATAATGAGAATAATCATCAATAAGGCGAAGCTTCCCAACATGGCGCCGATTAATACCCAGTCTGGCATGACAACGATATCCCTCGAAATTGCAATGCCATTTTGGATCACATTCCTTGGCGTGGTGGGGAAAAATGGACCATCTTCAGCACACTCAGCACCTTTGGCCATGACGCGAACAAACTGCAACACAAAATTTCGAGTTCTGTATTTTCTCTTTCACCTTTGCCTACACAAATCTAACCAACCGTTTTGCTTGACAACCAAGAATATAGACCGCTTGGTGCGTTTAAGTGAAGAGATACTTGTTAGGTGTAAACGGTCCTGACATCTAGTCTTATTGTTACACTGGCAAAATATATAATCTGACTCTAACCAAACACAACTTACCATGGTGCTCTCTGGATTAGCGCTGGACGTGAACACATAAACACCTTCTGTATCAAACCTGTAGGCAAACAACTCAAATTTGGTGGATTCCAGCTGATGTTTTTCTTCCAAAGCTTTAAATGGTCCATCATCAAAGGATGGATTTGTGTTGTACAGGTTGCTTTTGTCGTATTTAGGGAAGTCTGTGTTAGACACTTTCCACATCATATGCGAACCATGCTTCAGGCAAATGGTTGGATTTGTCATGCCTCTGTACGACAAACCAGACACAGCTCTTCTCTTCCTTCTGCTCGATGCTGAAGACGAGTTTGCCGAGCTGAGTGCTTGCTGTGCAGCTAACAGAGCAGAGGTCTCTTCCGCATTAGGATCATATGCCCCTTGCACTTCTCCGTCTGTTTGAGGATTAAAACATTAAATCAACGCAAACAGGAGAAAGAAAACTTGAGTTTAATCCTGCAGTTTACGCAGAAGTAAAATGCAACTTCGAGATCTCCTCCTGAGTTGTTTGGAAGCTTTGACTACTTTACAAAAAGACCACAACTGAATAAATGGTTGGAACATTTTTAAGGCTAGGAAGGTATCGAGACCTCTCAGATCAATTTGGAAAAGACATGATAAAACCATTGACACAAAAGACTTACGTACCTTGAAGGACAACAAGACTTATAGCGAACTCTTGGCCATCAGTGCAATCAAACGTTTCCCCGAAGTTCGGTATACTCGCTAGGTCTGACAAATTAAAGACTGGTGACTGAAATAAAAGAAACACATTACTAAATGAAATTCTTTCATATTATTGATTGCATATGTGCACACTCATCTAAAGGGAGATCGAACAAAAGCAGATGGAAGTGAAAGAGGGAAAGGGGAAACGGTTTAAGGAAAGACAATAAGGAGAGAAACGGGAATAAAACAAATGAAAACACAGGGAAACGATTTTGCTCACTTAAGGACTGAACTCAATGTAAACTTTAAATCACAGTAAGCTACCAGTAGGTGAGAGCATATATTGAGTTAGAGTCAGGGGGTGAATATAGAGGAAACTTTTTAGAGTGACTCCTCATTAGTGCTACATTAGGTCACTCATCTCTTTCATGGTAACTCAAGGTATGTTGAATGCTGAAATCAAACAGCTCGTACACACCAGACTGGTTGTTACAGAAAACCCACAAAATAATGTTTGCATACCTCTCCGAAAGGGGAATTGATTCTCAGTTGTGGTGGGTCTTTGCAAAGTATTTGAATCCGGTTTTCCTGCTGTAACCTGCATTCTCTGTCACAAACGTCGTCTTTGCTTGTAACCTTGCACTTACAAAGGCCCAGTTCTCCCACAAATCCAAGGGAACCCTGAGAACATTTCTAAACAACAAAAGAGTACAACACGTACAAATATCAGCAAGTTTGAAGTGTGCAAACTCACAATACTGGCGCCACCATTTTCGTCCACTTTAATGCAGATACTCCCAATCAATGAGTTTAATAATTGAAACAAATGCATTAAGGTTCTCAAAATAATAATCGTTTTCCAAACTTGTGTAGTTACCGTATTATTGCAGTAATCATTCCATTGTGCCTCAGTCCAACAAATCCCCTCCTGATTTCGATAAGTACCATCTGCGCATGATTGGTAGAGCTTCTGGACACATTCATCTCCGTTTTGCTGCTCGTAACCCTTCTTACAGGTGCATGTTTTTTCCGATATCTGAGACAAAGACAACTCAACAGTGAATATTTAAGAGGGATGTTTAATCCTCTGCCATCAGAATGTGCCATTAGAACAAAAGTTTACTATGGTAGCAAAGAATGAAAAGGAAGGAACAGTTCAATTCAGAGCAAAAACAGTTGAATTACAAAATAGTGTTTAATGTATTACCGCCTCCCGGTTAGCTCAATGGATAGAGCACTGGACTGTTGTGCGGGAGGTCGAGGGTTCAAGCCCCGGCCGGACCAACACTCAAGGTCTTAAAATAATTGAGAAGAATATGCTGCCTTTCTATAACATCAAGAAATGGTTAAATATTCTAGTCTTCTCGGATAGGGACGAATAAATGGACGTCCCGTCTCCTGCGGGGTTAGGGGTAGGAGATGTCAATTTCCCACGCACGAGATTACTGTGTGAAGGATGTCCTCCCCTGAGGTGGGATGGGTGGGGTTGTCTTACGTTTTATACATGAGCCTCTGGCTTGGGCAATCTGGGTAACCATGCCCCACGTAAAGACAATAAACAAACTTAAACTTAAACCAAATAGAATAGCTCATTTAAATCAGTTCGGTTCGGAATCAGTAACATGTAAAGCATTGCGTTTATGTTAAACATGGCTACATACTCGTCATTACCTGGCTCGTTATCTATGATGGAAAATCGCGTATTTCTGAACATTTAAGTGAACGCTGCTCATGATTTATTTTTTCTTTCTGGTTTTTGTGATCAACAGCAGTTGAATTGTCCTATTTCGACATACCTGGTATACTTGGTTATTTCCAGTACATTCGCACCTATCAGCAGCTGGTTTAGAACTCAGCGGGCTACAAGACAGGCATGAATTTTGAGCCACCCAGGGATTATAGTGATCTTTTGCACATGGTTTACACTGTCCAATATGTGCAGCACCAAGCTGGTCATTGTAAGTTCCATTCGGGCAGGGGTACAATTTTGGATCACCGCTCTGGCAGAAGTAACGCTGCGGGCAAAGGTAAGAGTTGGTTTTCGCCACACCGAGTTCTGTTCCATTTAAGCCAGGGTCATCTGTAGTTGCTCCTGAAGACAAATCAGGGCAAGATTTCAGAACTGACACACAGCTACAGTCTTAAAACAATAGTAAATTGTACCTTTCAAACAGATGACGCCACCACGGCAAGGAGCACATTCCCGACGTTCGGGATGATTTCCATAAGAACCCGGGGGGCAAATCTCGCACGTATCATTGAAGTTCTTTCTCGAAGAATTTTCTACCTGTTTGTAACCTGAAGCAAAATCATACTAAATCAGCGACAAGGACATAAAGAGAATCAACGTACAACTCCCACAACATTATAGTGTAACTCCTAGAGTTCACAACACCGTGTGGTTAGCTTCTGATTGGTTCACAACACCGTGCGGTTAGCTTCTGATTGGTTCACAACACCGTGTGGTTAGCTTCTGATTGGTTCACAACCGAAATCAAAACCCTGGCCATGCAATGGCAAGGAAAATATTCCAGCAGAACCAGAATTTGGACCAAAGTTTGATCACTCTGCCATCGTGACCTGCTCAAGTAATCAGAGCGATGACCACGTTCATGGAGTTTATAAACATTAACTGTCAGGTTTACTCTTAAACGAAATTTCTTTTCTATTGCATTTACCTAATGGACATATCTTCGGCTGGCAGGCACCTGCACTAAGGTCAGTGGGATCACAACGATCTTCCGGATCACAGTAAGACCCGTGGGGACAGGTGATGTATGACTCGGATCCATTTGGACAATAAAAGCCAGCTGGGCATGGAACTTGAGTTTTAGTTTCCTTGCAGTAATAACCAGGAAGACAAACAGTTGGTGATGTTCTTCCCGCAGGGCAGAAAGTTCCGTCTGGGCACTCGTATCCATAGAAACTACTGTTCGACAGAGGACAATACCTCCCGGCAGGACAAAGGTGACACTCAGATATGTTACGTGCCCCTGTGGAATCACGGAAGGTGCCATTTGGACAAGGTATGGGTTGGTCTGTGGCATTAAGACAGTACTGACCAACTGGACATGGAGACGTGGCGTAGTCGGAGAGACCTGAGAAAGAAAGTCATGTAAATTTGCAATCAGTTGCATAAGCCTGAATGGTTAACCTAATACAGTTAATTATCGTCCCGCAATGCAGGAATTCGCTCCACTTAATCTGATGAACATTAAACACCAAAGAGTGAACATGTCAAGAAAAAAACTGTTCATTTAGAGTCTCGTTCAAAAGTGTGAATCTAAAACGTTTTTTAATTGCGATGCGTGACACCAAGTCAACGATACGAGTTATCAGTTAACAAATATGCCCCATCTAAAATTAGGGAACAACGGGTGATGTTCCTCAAAAGACATTCACCAATTCTCATCCCAGTATCCAATGCGATAACAGTCTTCCTTTGAAACCTTATTGAAGTCTGAAAAGAGTTTTGGTGTTGTTGCAGATGAAGGGATAAATTTGTTTTGTTCAAAATGTTGCACTGAAACGTCACTATCGGTCTTCGAAGGTAAGCTGTTTTTTGGTAAATGTTCTGGTTCACGCGCCACCAAAAATATGTGAAAGAAAATAAACATAGCAGCCCGCTTCGTTTGGCTTGAAATAATACTCGTATCTTTGTACTTGACACCATCTGTTTCTTGGCGCTCAGTTTTACCCTTGCCAAACGGAGGTTAACCTTTTTGTAGACTATCATTCCTCTACTCCCCTTACCTTCATACCAGCAATAGTATCCAGCAGGGCATGGATGACAAAAGCTTATATCTGTCGCACCAGATACATTGTTGAATGTTTGCAGAGGGCAAGGTCTCGCAGTGTCATTGAAGGGACAGTAATATCCAACGGTACAATCTTTAGGTATAGAGTCACCACTGACGCAAATCTTTCCAGCCGGGCACACTTGACATTCAGCTTTTGATCTGGCTCCCTTGTAAGGGATTACCAAACCTGGCTCACACCTCTGGCGCTTTAAGGTCCCAGCAGGACAGTAGTAACCAATGGGACATATCTCTCCAATACTTGAATTAGACCCATCAGGGGTGGGGGTAGGATTGCCAATGTAACACAGATATCCAGCAGTACAGTTGTCAGTGATGACACCAAGCTGGCAAAAATGACCAGCAACACAAGGTCTACACTGATCGACATTGCTCAGTCCAGTTTCTTGGTCGTTCGTAAATGTTCCATTAGGGCAGACCACTGGGGTGTGTGTACCGTTCGGACAGAAGTGATGGGGAGGGCACGCTATGGGGTCAGAAGTGTTGGCAAGGCAGTAGAAGCCTTTTGGGCAGATGTCACATGATACTTGCTGTTTACGACTCTGATATGTCCCTGGTGCACAGCTAAATGGGTTGGCAGTGCCCTTTGGACAGAAATGCCCAATTGGACAAAGGAAGTTGCTTGGTTTTGGATAGCGAATGTCTTCTTCTGCTGGGCAGTAGTAACCTGGGTGACAGTCTTCGGTTGCAATGAGCAGTCCAGGTTGATAACAATATTTCCCTCCAGTACAAGGCAAACAGTCATTACGCGATTTAGCACCCGAGTATGGCCTGAGGGTTCCTTCGGGGCACCAGGTGCCATTTGTTGTTCCCTCTTCACAGTAGAACCCTGGGGGGCAAGGGCCATTGTCTGCATCACCGGTATCATTAGGTGAAAAAAATCTGGCTCCACCTCTACAAAGGTAGCCGGCACGACAAGGTCCAGTTGCGCTAGCCTGGCCAGGAAGTTCACAGTACTTGCCAGGCGGGCATGCCAAGCACTCATTTTTAAATTTGCCATATTCAGTAGGAAGATACGTTCCACTCGGACATGGTGTTCCCTTGGGCAACGACTCACCACCTGGGCAATAGTGTCCCGGAGAACAAGGCGTTGGCTGAATAACAGAGGTGTTGGGACAAGTGAAGCCAACTGGACAGTTCTCACAAACACTCTGGCTTTTAGTGGGACCATATTGGCCCCTGGGACATGGTTCTTCCTTTACAGTTCCTTTAGTACAGAAATGGCCTCTGGGACAAGCCTTTCCCTCTATACCGTCTGTTGGGCGTGGAGTGGTAGAACCTTTAGTAAAAGAAAAAATTAGACAAGAAAATAACCTTATGAAGAAACTGCCAGTACATTTAAATAGGCTAGCAGAGAAGATTTATGTAGGCACTACATTTTTACCTTAAAATATTCAACGTCAAAGTTCTGATGGTAATGTTAATCATCCCAAATTTTTTAACAAATAAGCAGTAACCGTTTCAATTGGTTAAAGTTGTCTTTTTTCATTAAGGTTGTCATGATGAATAAAAGATGCCAGATGAAGAAGAAAACAAAGCTATAACTAGGAACGTTTCTGGTATTTGTTTCTTACCCAAGATACAAACATAACCAGCATCACAAGGTCGTTCTTCTACGATAGTGGCCTTTGGATCACAATAATATCCAGGGCTACAAGGCCTGCAGTCTGTGACGTTTTTATTTCCCTCCGAGTTTGCAAACGAGCCACGTGGACAAGGTTCAGGTATATAACTTCCCTTCACGCAGAAATGTCCAATGGGACATTTTGCATATGTTGGATTTGACACCTTGGCACTGCCATTACAGTAAAAGCCAGCAAGACATAGATCTTCAGGTTCTGTCAAACCTTCTTGCTGACAAAAGTACCTACAGCACGAAGAAAAAACCCTTTATTAGTGAAAGAGCCAAGCTCGTTCTGTGTTGTTAGGTTAACTCTCACCTAGTCCAGTCCAAATGCTAAAGTATGGCGATTGACTACTGTATCGTATGACGATTCATGATAATAAACGACTCATGATAATAAACGACTCATTTGTTGATCTACGTAAAACCCTCATTACCGAGACCATTTACTTTATCAACCCTTTTTTAGCACATACTGTAGGTCATTCTTACCTAGGAGGGCACTCTGTACATTGTTCAGCTCGCTCAAGTCGAGTCTTGTTGCTCCATGTTCCAGATGGACACTTGTGTTGAGTTGAAAATGATGTCCCTGAGGGACAATAGTGTCCCATGGGGCATTCATATCCTGTCAGGTTACTCACAGCAACTAAAGTATTATCACAGTAGTACCCAGGCAAACATTCCTTACATTTGGAGGAATACTGACTATCTTGGTAAGTGCCATTTGGACAGCGTTCTGGAAGAGGTGATCCCTCCAGGCAAAAGTGACCCACTGGGCAGGGATGTGAGTTTGGAGATGAAACTGTCTGGCCGGGTGGACAGAAGTACCCTCTATCACAATACCCATCTGGATAGCTTAGACCACTGCTGTTGCAGAACATACCAGCTATACACTGTACACACTCTGAATCATTCTCGTGTTTCTTTCCAGGTAAATAATAGCCTGGTTGACAGGGCAACGGGTAAGGTGATTCCAATGGGCAATAGTGTCCTTCTTTACATTCCTCTTGGCGGCTGCTGGTGGATCCTGCTGGACAGTAATATCCAGGGTCACACGGTCCTTTTGTATGATGCAGCTCGTGCTCATCACAATACCTTCCAGGTGTGCATATTGTCATGTTATGGGAAGAATCTGGACAAAAGTGACCAGGTGTGCAACGCGTTGCAGCAGGTTTAGCTTTGCTGTTGCCTCCAGGACAATAAAACCCAGCACTGCAAGAATTTGTGGGTTTTTCGTTTCCATAATTAGCACAGTAGTGACCAGGGTCACAAGGTAAGCAGTTGAGCGACGAGTTGCCCTGAACCTTGGGGTTGTAAGTACCTGGTTGACATGGTTGATAACGAGGTCTGGGCGAACCTTCTGGACAGTAATGACCTTTGGGACATTGATTGCCTTGATATGTGGTGGAGTTAGCATAGCAATAGAAGCCTTGTGGACATCGTTTGCAACTAGCTTTGCCTTCCTCGTCTTGATACGTACCAGCAGGGCAGCCTGTAAAAAATGACAATTAAGTTAAGAAATATTTTCACTCAGCTGTTTATGATTCACTTGAGTGTGAAATGCAGTCAGTGATAGGATGCGTTCCAGTCAGTTTCTGCGTGAAAGATGTTTTAATTATGTTTTCGTTTGTTTTCATCGCACTCGATCATCAACTCTGGATTTAGTACGACATAACATTTTCACTGATAACTGTTATTCAGGTAAGAGTCCGAATATGTTGTCATTGGCGTAACAGTTCATATATACTCGTTGAGTAAATAAAAAATCACCAATTTTTGTTCAAGTACTACCTTGAAAGATGACACTGCCAGCTATACAGAAGTGTCCACGGGGACAAACGTCACCAATAGTGATGTGCTCAAAATGGGCAGGACTCTGTGTCAAGTTTGTCATGTATGGGTTTGGTGATGCTGCACCAGACACACAATAGTAGCCAGCACTACAGCTTCCACTTGGTTCCGTTAGGTTTGTACCTCTACAAAATTTGCCACCAGAACAGGGCGTGCAGTCTTGTTCTCGCACTAAGTTCTTCCTGTTGTTGTAAGTACCAGCAGGACATTGTTTCCAATCAGCCCCCGTACCATTTGGACAAAAGTACCCCTCTGGACAGTCATGCTTGGCAGAACTCGAGTCACCTATTACACATTTGGACAAAACAAAACAAAAAAAAAAAAAAAACATTGATATAACAAAAGCAGCTTAACTAAGAAAATACCGACAATTGCAGAACGGTTTACTTAAACATTGCTTAGCATAAATCAATTAATTTCTTACCTTCGGCTTGTTTATGGCTTATTCATTATATAGCACATTGCTCTAGAAAAAGTTTAGGGGTAGGTGTTGAATTACATTACCTGAAATAACAAGTTCTGGGAGACAATAATAGCCCTCAGGGCACGTCGCACATTCCGATGATCTGGGACTTTCGGCAAATGTCCCTGCGGGGCAATCTCGAGGTTCAGGACTTCCTTTCGGGCAATGCTTGCCAGCTGGACAAGGATACGGATTACTAACATTTTGACCCTTGGGGCAATAATAGCCCTCGTCACATTGATCCTTTGGCTCAACAAGTCCCTCGTCATCACAGAAATATCCTGGTCTGCAATCAGTACAGTCGTCTGCCTTCTCTAAACCACTGCCATTTGAATAAGTTCCTGATGGACATGGGAAGGGATGATGGGTACCCTGTGTGCAATAACGGCCCGAAGGACATTGAATTTGTGTTTCGCTTGAGGAACGTACTGGACAATAGTAACCAAGTTTGCAAGGTCCTGCTGTTTTTGTCATGGCTGTTTCATTACAGAATTCTCCACCAGTACAATCTAAGCATTCGTGTTCTGCCTGAAGACCTGTTGCTGGGCTGTAAGTACCAGCTGGACAATCGATTGGCTTGTCAACACCTATATAGAAGACAAAACGCAGAGAAGAAGATTAATATGACAAAAACCAAGAACAAATCTGAGAATAGGCACGGCTTGATGCCACCAGGTCCCAATCATAATGATACTTCTGTTTGTGCTTTCAGTAATAAAATCAGTTACTTTCAATGTCTGTGATACGAAAAAATTCTACCCGCTACTCTACAGAAGAAATAGCGATAAATAAAGACACTTGAGCATTGTGTATACATTGATAGTATCAGGAGGACCATAGCAATGTATCAGAATGATGTACTATAATTTAGTTTTTAAACCTTTTTTGCTATGTTTATCTTCCAAGTAATAATGCAACTGGCTTTGGTGGACGAAACGCTGCTATCATTGGTATAATTCAGAAGGTTAAAACAAGCCCATCCATTAAAAGGATAAGAAAGACTATTAATTACCTTCAGGGCAGTAATAACCGGCGGGACAAATGTCAGCTTTTTCCCCAAGTTCTGGTGTGGTACTATTGGCACCCTCTCTACAGAAATATCCAGCCCCACATAACTTGTATGGAGACACCAAACCCCACTCATCACAGACCATGCCACCAGTACATGTCCTACAATCTGACTCTTCGTCTATGCCAGTTCTATTGTTGAATGTGCCTGGAGGACACTTAAACTGTTCTGCATATCTTGTACCGCTTGGACAATAATGACCCTCTATGCAGATATACTGTCCATATAGTATGACTGGGCCATTAGTGTCATTGCAATAGAAGCCCTTTGGGCAGATTTTACACGCTGGTTTTGCTTTTTCGTTTTGGTAATATCCTGCTTCACAAGGTATGGGATTTGGACTTCCTTCAGGACATTTGTTTCCTTCGGGACATTCGTGCTGATCATCGCTTTCTGCTCTACCGCTGCAAAAGTAGCCTGCCTTACACAACGCTGTGGGCACAGGCAGCCCACTTCCACCACAGTACCACCCTGGAGTACAGTCTTGACAGTCAGTCACATTTCTTTGGGAAGTGAAGACAGAAACACAAGGATTCAGTCAAATAGTGAAATGCCGAATTTTTTTAACAAATTAAAAAAACTATTTTGGTTTCAGTAGTTTAGAAAACCTAAGCGCAGATACATGTCATCGATTTGACGTCACAAAAAGTGTATAAAGAATTTAGAAGAAAAATAAATTCAGTCTCACCTATTGCCTGTACTATTCAAGAATGTTCCAATTGGACAATCCTCAGGTGCCCCACTTCCTCTGGGACAATACTTGCCATTTGGACAGATATCTCCTGTCATTCCATCTGTAGGTTTGGCTTCTTTTGCTCCAGATGTACAGTAGTGACCAGCCTCACAGTCAAACTCTGGTTCTGACAGTTCTGGGCGTGGGCAGTACTTTCCTGGATCACAGGGTGTTGGCAAAGCTGATCCATTGGGGCAATAATGAGACGTCGGACAGCGACCTGAATTGAAATTAAATCTAATTGTAGGACGTTTGCGTCTAAAACACGAAAAGTAGAGGACCTGAGCAGCTAACCCTTACCAGCGTACGCATACATGGAGAATGTTACGAGAAACGAGCTCACGCATGCTGGACGTTTAACTATATAAGTAAGGCAATCAAGGCCCACACCAACCGAGCGTATCCGTTACATGAAATGGGTGGGAGTTTTACTATTCCTGCTGGATAGAAAGCTGGTCCATCCCCAGGAAGAAACAGCAATATACATGTAATTGAAAGAACGTTACCTCCATCAGGTGTAGGGTTCGTTGATCCATTTCTGCAGAACCACCCACCATAACAGAGGGCAGTGGGCTTACTCAGACCAGTTCCTTCACAATACATTCCACCAGTACAAGGAACACAGCTTGATTCTGCTTCCTGTCCGGTTAAATGGTTAAAAGTACCCTCGTCACAGAGATATGGAACACTTGTGTTTATTGGACAATATCTTCCGGATGGACAGACAGAGTCATTGAATGTGGAGGCCTGGGCAAGACAGAAGAAGCCAGCAGGACACGATTTACAATATGTTTTTCCTTCTTCATCTTGGTAACTTCCATCAGGACACGGCACTGGAAGGGTGTAACCTTTACGACAGTAGTGACCCACTGGACATACTCCACCATATCCTATAAAAAGGTTATCAGATATGAAACAAACCTCTCATATTTATCACGAAGTTTTCAAGACCATTGTTGAAATAAATATTCTATAAAAAATTAAATATTTTTTCTTTCTATTTCCTTCCCACTGAGTAACGATATAAAAGGCCAGGAGTTACCTTGATGTTACTTACTTTTAACGTTACAGGATTAAAAGAACTTAACGTTTGTAATTTTTTTTCTGGAAGTAACAGAAATATCTTCATTATAAAGGGCAATTCAAAACCTGGACACAACAGACGGTAAATACGCTGCTAACCAACCCTGATTAAGCTATCAATATCTAACATTTCTACCTGTGTGCAATCCCAGGATGGAGCAGTTGCCAAGTAGTGACGTTCCATTCACTGAATTAATAGGATCTGGTTTGTCAACGCCGGACTCGCAGTAGTGTCCACCAAAACAGTCTCCAGTAGGCTCGATGGCATGGAGCTCACCACAGTACTTACCTCCCAGGCAATCCTCACACTGAGTCACCAAGCTAAGCTTTGTTTTGTTACTAAATGTACCAAGTGGGCATGGCTTCCAGTCTAAACCAGTCCCAAGAGGACAGTAGTACCCCCTGGGGCACTCGTGGTAACCAGACTTTGGATCGCCTGCTGTGACATTTTCAGGTAAACAGTAATATCCAGGAGGACAATCCTGACAAGATGGCTGCGTTGTGGCGTTGGTAAATGTTCCAGAGGGACAATCCTTTGGAGTGGCGCTAGCTGTAACGGAAACGGTTTTTTATATTAAACACTTCTCTTTTCTGTCATCGGTGGATGTAAAGAGAGAATCTTTCTAGTCGTACAAGAGCTATTTGGAAAACCTTATGCGCAAAATATCTGAACGTCCCTTCCTAGTCCTTTATTGAAAGACGACAAACTGAAAGACTTTTCTTCGCTAAAAAGATCAACAGTTCAACTCAAAAAAATAATATTAAATCAATTAATTATTTATCAATTATTTATTAATTATTTATTATTTATTTATTAAGATCAATTAATTATTTATTAGTATTGTTCAACACGCAGAATAATACAACGTTGATGACATGAGGAGTTTTGAAGCTCACGAGCGTAAAACGAAACATTTTCTTCTTCGTACCTTGTTTTGTCTAATGTCTATTCACGGAGAGACTCCTTTGTAACTCACGAAGGGACTCCTATGTACCTTGCCATCATTTCTTGTGAATGTCAAGTCAAGCAAAATCTAGAACTTACCTGTGGGGCAGTGTAAGCCAATAGGACATGGAACAGCATTGTCCACTGAGGAGCCAGTGGGACAGTAATAACCCGCTGTACACTGCCCAGTGGGATAACTAAGTCCTCTTTCCAAGCAGTATGAGCCAGCTGTGCAATTGGTACACTGATCTTCTTTCCACAGGCCAGTGGTGTTAGAGTAAGTTCCAATGGGACAGTCCTTGGGTGTATGAGTGCCAAGTGGACAATATTTTCCTGCAGGACAGACTTCTTGCTGCTTACTGATCGAACCCTGGACACAGAAATAGCCCTCATCGCATTGCCCTGTTTCCGATGTCTTTCCACTAAATTCACAGTAATAACCTTCGGTACATGGGGTACACTGGCTCGAGTTATGCAAACCTGAATTTACGAATAGGCATTGTTGCTGTTAATATGGTGCATAAAACCTATCATCTCTACGTCCAATAACAACCATTTCAACCAGAAAGTCACTTAACCATTTAAAGGCATCAAGGTCCAGATTCAAGTCAAGTCAAGTCAGCTCGGAAGAGAAGAGGGGCAGGAGTTAACCCAAAACACTGAATAAATACACTATGATAAATCTACTAAGAAAAAAGCACTCTTGGAGAGTTTAAGTTTCGTTTTAGTTTATTTAGCTTCGCCAACCGGCAGGGACACTGCAACAGCTTGCGCCAGTTACTGCAGGCCCAGTAAACCCACCCATCCCACCCCAGGGAGGACATCCATCACACAGTAATCTCGTACGTGGGAAATTAACGTCTCCTACCCTCAACCCTGCAGGAGACGGGACCTCCATTTCTTCGTCTCTATCCGAGAAGACTAGAATATCTAACCATGGTGTAACTTACCTAAAGCATTACTGAACGTTCCAGCAGGACAAAGTTCTGGTTCTTCTGTACCTTCCTCACAATACTTTCCTTGTGGACAAATATTTGCATCACTTCCCTGCTCAGGTGTGGCAGTCATTGCACCTGAAAGAAAAAGAGTAACAGTCGGTAAGGTAAAAGCACCAGAAAGAGCAGGAATCATCAGACTGAAAAAAAAGTACTCCTGAGTTTAGTGTTTGTAAAAAGGAATGTTTCCTCCATTATAAAATTCTGCTTTTAGTTTTAAGAAACCATTCTTGGTAAAACTGAACATAATCTCAATAACATCTAAGGACTAATTAATAGTGAATCGCTTTCTATTGAAATTAAAACTTTTGAGAAATGTGTCCTATGTTCTCTTAAGATTGACAGAATAGCGTACCTTTCTTGCAGAAGTATCCAGAGCTACAAAGTGTCTTGGGATGAGTCAAACCTGGTTCCCCACAATAATAGCGTGGAAGACAAGGTGTACATTCACTCTGACTTGCACGGCCTGTCAAGTTGTTAAAAGTGCCATTCTCACAGGGAAATTCCTCTGCAAATCGAGTTCCACTCGGACAGAAGTATCCGTCTGGACATAAATAAAGATTGTAATTCTTTACTCCACCAAATGTCGCATTGCAGTAGTAACGAGCAGGGCATTCTTTGCAAGTGTCTTGTAGAGGTTCATCTTGATAGTAACCAGATTCACAATATTCAGGAGTTGGAGAACCTTGAGTACATTTACTTCCAGTGGGGCAGCCAAACAAAGCTGGTGTACCGACTGACTGTCCAGCAGGGCAATAGTACCCAGCAGAACAGATTCCATCAGGTGCAGACAGACCAGATGTATTACAGAACTTGCCAGCAGTACAAAGCACACATGCACTTGAGTTTGTTGCTACAATGCCACCGTAATAAGTCCCTGGTTCACAAGCAGTAGGATCCATGGATCCTTCAGGGCAGTAGTGGCCAGGAGGACACCTTCCTCCAGTGCTGTCAGTTGGTGTTGAAGTACTTGCCTTTAACTTGCAGAAATAACCTGCACTACAGTTTCCTTTAGGTTCACTCAGGCCATCAACATCACAGAATTTCCCTCCGTCACATTCCCTTGGTTCCCCAGAACCTTCAGGACAATAATAACCTGGTTGACATTTACCACCATGTGTAATGGTCATGTTGGAAGTTGCACTTCCATTACAGTACCACCCAGCACTACAGAGGCCTGTTGGCCAGGAGTTTCCATAACCCTCACAATAGCTACCTTTTGGACAAGAAAGGCAGGATGCTTGTGTCTTCTGTCCTGTTAAATTGTTATATGTGCCTGGTGGACAGGGGTGCTCGTATGGCTGAGTAGTGTTGAAGGGACAGTAGTGACCACTTGGACAGGTGAAGTTAATAAACATCACTGTCTGTCCCGAGCAATAGAAACCAGAAGGACAAGCTTTGCATTTGTCTTGACCAGTCTCATCGTTGTATGTTCCTGCTTCGCATGCCTCGGGTACGACGGAACCCTGAACACAGAATGTTCCTGGAGGACAGATGTCACCAATGCCAGTGTACTGGCCAAGGAATGTTGGATTAGGGCAAGAACCATTGGTAACATTGTATCCATCAATATAAGGTTTATCAACAGAAACACCTGTCATTCAGAAAATGAAAATTAGGAAAAGAACAAATCGTCTGGCATTTAACACATTTAACACCATTACATTTTATAAACCTGACATCACCAAAAACAACCATGAAGTTCCTAAGCCTTAGGGTTGGGGTTGAGCAAAGTCTTACTCCACTCTAATCAAGAAATGGATAGATATTCTAGTCTTCTTGGATAAGGGCGAATAAACCATAGGTCCCGTCTCCTGAAGGGTTAGGGTTAGGAGACGTTAATTTCCCACGCACAAGATTACTGTGTGGTGGATGTTCTCCTCTGGGTTGGATGGGTGGGTGTTGGCCCTGAAAAGCCCCCATGGCAAGTGGTCCATTAACCTATGTATGTTTGTATGTACCTTACAAAACAACTCCCAACATTTATTTTTAGGAAAGCATAAGCTCAGTAGCTTAAAGTACATTATGTAAAGGGCCTTTGAGGCTGTTTATAGTCTGAGCACCATTTAAATTATTCTTAACACTGTTTATTACCTTATTTACATTACTTCAATTTCAAATCTCAACATCAGTTCCTGTTTAAGTGAAGTATTGCTAAACTCCACCCTATTAAATACTTAATTGCTCTATGTTTTTAAAACTTCTTTATTACATTAAAGAGAAAGACAAATATGTCATGGTGAACCTTGTTAATTGAAAACAACAACGTGGATTTATCACATTTTTTTAACAAAACTAGAAACCTTAGATTTTCTAGTTCGGATTTGCTTACCTATGGTGCAAAAGTAGCCTGGTGCACAGAAATCTGTGGGAGAAGTCAAGTTTCTTCCATTACAAAATTTTCCACCATCACAATCTTTACACTGTTTTTCTTTGTACAAGCCAAGGTCATCACTGTAGGTACCAGCAGGGCATGACTGCCAGTCAAGACCAGTTCCCTCTGGGCAGTAGAACCCCCTTGGACAGATGCGGTACCCAGTAGATTCATTTCTAGCTAGTTCTAGAGGGAAGCAGTAAAAGCCATCTGGACACGGATCACAATTGTCTCTTCCTGTTGAGTTTGTGAAAGTCCCTGCTGGACATGGTTTGGGTACAGCACTGCCAGTAGGACAGTGAAACCCAGTAGGACATTCCACTGGATCAGGAACAGATGAACCAGTTGGACAGTATGAGCCACTCTTACAAGGGCCAGAGTAGTTTGCTTGTCCAGGTGTAGAGCAATAAAATCCTGCCACAACAAAAAAGGTTATCATTTAATACCAACATGCACCTATGCTTCAGTAAAAACCCTCTAAACATAAAAAAAATAAACAACAGATATATACACACCTGCAGTACAATTGATACAGTCACTGATACTTGTTCTGGTATACTCTGGCTGGAATGTTCCAATGGGACACAATGCTGCTTCTTCATTCTGTCCAATACAGTATGTTCCAGGTTGCCATGGGACTTCCTTTGGACTTGATGAGCCAACTGGACAGTAATGGCCAGGGTCACATGGCCCAACTGGAGAATTCCGCCCAGGCCGAGAACAATGGAAACCTGCTGTGCAGTTCCAGCATTCATTGACATCCTTGTAGGCTAGAAGGCAAACACAAAATATCCACAGTGTGAAAAAAAAATTATGCAAATTTTTTCTTCTTGTCATTTAACACACAAAAAAGTAAATACCACTGTTCTAGCCATTTGTTTGTTCACTGTAATTTTCATTTGCATTTGTTAAAAAAGAACACAAATAGGCAAGGTAAGTAGACATTTTACATCACAACACACACCAGTATCATTCCCATATGTTCCAAGAGGGCAGTCTACTGGTTCACCAGTTCCTTCTGGGCAGTAATGACCCACTGGACAAATGTTGGCATCATTCCCTTGATCTGGGGTAGCACTGGTAGCATTACGCCTACAGAAGTAGCCAGCAGCACAGTATTGAATAGGTTGTGGCATTCCTGAAAATAAAACAGCATTTAGATTTAGTTTTGCCAACATTAATAATAATAATAATAATAATTTAATTCTAATATTGTGCGCTTTCCATGAAATGATCAAGCGTTTTACATTTCAGTAATAGTTATTAAAAATACACTATGATAAAATTAAAGAATACAGCATATGTTAAGATACTAGCAACTATCATGATGAGATTTTAATAAAAATTAATGAAAAGCTTCCTTAAAGAGTTGCTTTTTCAGGTGGCACTAAAAAAATCCTTATATCTGCAATAGAACTAATCACATGCGGTAATGCATTCCAAAGTGCCCAAGCTGCAACCTGGAATGATCTGTCTCCTAATGATACCCTACTTCTATAAGTTGGTGTTGCAAGCAACAAACCATCCAAGGAGGATCTTAATTATTTTATAATTTCCTGGTCTTTTAATTGACACAAGTTATCTTAAATACGTTGACCAGTGCAATTCCATAGATGGCCTTAAAAACAAATAGCAGAATCTTAAAACTAATGCGTTGCCTAACCCGTAGCCAGTGCAGCTCGTATAGCAACAGCACTATGCGACAGTAGCGTGGTGCACAACAAACTAGTCTTCCTGCGGCATTTAAAATGCGTTGAATCTTATCCAGGTGAGAAGCTGGCAAGCCATATAAAAGACTATTGCAATAATCTACGTGCGAGGTAACAACTGCATAAATGAGGGCTTTAGTGGTATCTGTACTCAACAACCTACAGATCCGACTTATATTATGCAAATGATAGAATGCCGAGGTGCATTGTTTACTTATGTGGAATGACATATCCAGATTACGATCAAACCACGACCAAGATTTTGCGCAACTGATTTCGCCTCTACGACTGCATCACCTACAGTAATATCATTCAAGTTGACTTTTTCTATCTGTTGAATAAAGGCTGATAGTTTCGAAAGAAACTGTTTGGGGCTGCGTCGGTGGGGGTAACGAAACAATTTGGATATATCAACAAAGTTGAAATGGTAAATTGGCCACTGCAACGATTACAAAAGCTGACGTTTCGAGCGGTAACCCTTCGTCGGAGCGAAAGGGCTAATGACGAAGGGCTAACGCTCGAAGCGTCAGCTTTTGGAATCGTTACGGTGGCCAATTCACCACTTCAGTTTTGTTGATAGATCCAAATTTTTTCTATCTGTTTCCTGGTACCTATAAGCATTAGTTCAGTGTTATCATCATTTAACATCAGTCGGTCTTCAATCATCCAGTTCCT